CTCTCCTTCTATCAATTCCTTGATGCACCGCTCTATAACCTCTTTCCTAACAACACCTTGCATGTCCGGCTTAGCGCAAATTCCGGTTCTCCATATATCTTCTACATATTTTGCATTTGTGGGCTGGTCTGTCCACTGAGGTATTCCCACCATTGGAACTCCCAAACTTAGAGCTTCAAGAACAGAGTTAAAGCCGCAGTGGGTAACAAAACATCCTATTGCTTCATGCTCCAACACCTCCAATTGTGAACACCACCTCACTAGGAGGCCCTTCTGTGCTACCTCCTCCGTGAAAGTTTTAGGTAGTTTGGCCTCCTCTGATGCCCTCACTACCCATAAGAAGAAGCAATTACTGCCCTTCAAACCCCAAGCTAATTCTTCCATCTGTTCCTCTTTCAATTCTGCGACGCTACCAAATGAGACATACACAACTGAGTTCTTGGGCTTCGCATTCAACCAATTCATGCAATCCGCTGTGTTTGGCTTGAAGAGATTGATGCCATAGGCTCTGTCACCTTCAAGTCTTTTGTCCAAGAACATAGATGGAATTGTTGGTCCGATTGTCCCGACTTTCCATAGTTTTGACAACTAATCCACTACCTGTGAATAAAAGAAAAACTAGAATTTCAGAACTCACGGTTAATGGTTTGGGAATATTATCAGACAGGTTATAGGCCATGTATACATAATTACCTCAGTCTCCAATTCGTAAAAGGTATTAAAAAGCATCCAGTCCACTTCGTTGAAGTTGGAGAATTGATTCATGACCATGTCAAACACCTCCGGGTAGGATCCATAGTGTGATACAAACGACGGTGTGTCGGAAACTTCCAGGAAAGGCAATCCAGGAAATGAAACAGTCGGCCCTGAGATTGGCACCTGAAGAAGTCCCCTGTTTACATGGTAATACACGCTGTTCACAGCACAAGTCTGTGTGAAAAACACCACCCCGAGTACCCCACACTGCCTTGCAACATCCAGTACCCAAGGGATAAACCCATCATACACAACAGCATTGACGGACCGACCTGAATCACCAAGTTTCTTGATCAGATCTAATAAAGTCCGAGATCCCACTATTCGTAAAGATTCAAGGTAAGCTTTACCGCTCTCAGCCTGAGTTCTACCGCCTTCATCGAAGCCATCAGAAATGGTTTCCACAGCAATGGAGCTGGTAGGGTCGGTGTGCATAGATTTGGAGGTGAAGACGGTGGTTACTAGGGTGGTGTTAACGCCCTTGGCAACGAGGCGTTTGGCGAACTGGAGCATAGGATTTATGTGACCCTGTAGAGGGTAGGGGAGGATCAAGACATGAGCTTTCTGGGTTTTCTTCCTCTCTTTCATTTTGTCTTGTTATATGAAAGTAGAGAGGAATGGAATGGATTATTGAAGGCAGTGGCAGCCACACAGGAGGAGAGAGATATAAATGGTTGGAAATCAAAATTATTTGTGAAAGTTGGAAACATTCATACGATGAAGACAAAGGCTGCAAGAAAGTAACTGACACTGGAAAGAAAGATAAAAGCTAAGAACAGTTGTGGACAAATGCATTATGTCTCCCCCTTGTCTGGATAAATTCTACTGCAAGCTAATATGGAGTCATCTTATACCCACAAAAGTCAGTGTCTTCTCTTGGCGTCTTCTATTAAATCACCTTCCCACAAAGGACAATCTCATCCAAAGTGGTATTGACTTAGCATCTAGATCTGGTTGTGTGCTATGTAATGGTTATTTAGAGGATGCAAATCATATTTTTTCCACATGCATATACTCCCAAAGCATTTGGAGCCGCATATGTTGTTGGTGGGGTTTTTCTTTTGTTTTTCGTGACAAGGCCTCCGAACTGCTTACTCAGCTTTGCTCAATCCCAGTCCCTCAAGATGTTAAAGATTGTTGGGTCCTCTCCATATTTACTACTGCTTGGGCTATATGGTATTTTAGAAATGGAATTGCTTTCAATAAACTTGAATGGGATGAGGATAATTTAATCGAGCTAGTGAAGACCAAAACATTTGCTTGGATAAAGGTAAATTGAAATCTACTGTGTTTTGTTTTAGTGACTGGTGTCAATTCTCAAAATTATATACTATTTATTTTTAATATGACACAACACACATCTTAATGTAATGTATGAGTATCTTGTACTTATAGTTTTTAATACATTTTTATTCATAAAAAAAAAAAGGTGTCATTTTTGGCACTTGACTAATTTGCGTCATTTCTTACCGAATCTTGCAAGTTGCAAAATGCAAACACGGGTCTACCTAGTCGGCCATAATGAAAATGATACTTATTCAGTTCAAAATAATTGTCTTTTTTTATTTTTTCTCTAAATTAAAGATTTAGAGATAATTCATATATTTATTTATGTTACCTTTAGAGAAAAGTTAAAAGATAAAATAAATTTTTTTATAATAGGATAATTAATTAAAATAAATAGATAATGATATGATTAAAATAGAAAAAAATATTTATCTACCCTAAAAAAATAAAAAAATATAATTAATTTGAAATAAACTTAAAGTCAAGTAACAACAGTTATTTTGGGATGGACCAAAATTTGAAACCAATGATGTGATACAAGCCATGTCATTTAAAATATTAAAAGGTAAATTTTATATTATTTATTGATTAATTTTTTTTTAAATTGTGATATTATATGTATTAACTAATTTGATGATGTGTTATAAATCATGTTATTGATCCCAAATTTTCACCCTCTCTATTATTACTCTTTTATTTAGGGGTTTATTTATGATATTGTGTATATGCACCCGTTCTATATATGCTATGTAAAATTGTGAATTTATAATTTTATATAATATTATAACTATAGTATTATTATAATAATAATTTATAAGACAAGCTCAAATCGTTAAGGGCACATGAAATGTGTATTAGTTTATTTGGTTTTATTGGTTTATAATTTTTTTTCCCTTGTTAAATAGTTAGGCTGTTTCGAAATGTTAACATATAGCTAATTTTAAACTTGTAAGTAATAATATTAGTCTATAGCTATAATTATTTTTTTTTTTGAGAAAGGCCTATAGCTATTTTTTGTAAGGAAATAATGATTCTATTAAAAAAATAAAATTGAGATTACATATAAATCTTTATATCACAATATGTATAGGTAAAATAAAAACATGGGCAATGATATATACACCTTACAAAGTTATAGACTTTGTTACATAATAAAAACCGTTAGTTTTAATGACATAAATAATGAAAACAATTAGTTTTAATGGTACAAATAATGGAAACAGTCGGTTTGAACGACTCAAATAATGAAAATAGTCAATTTTAATGGCACAACTAATGAAAACCGTAAGCGTGTAACTTAGTGTGTAACTTAGCGTGTAACTTTATAGGGTATATATATCATTTCCCTAAAAACATATTCTATGGCACTATATATCGATTTAAACTATACTCATAACAAATTATTTATAATTAATTACAGAGAATTATTGCACCTAAAAATTACATTAAGAATTTTTATAGGGGCATAAATAGAGTCATTAATGTAGAAAAAAGGTCCTTACAAGAGCATCTTGAGCAATAAGGCATTCTCAACTATTATGTCAAATTCTAAAGAAAAGCATGTACTTAAACTATCAACAGTCCCCACTTACTAATAGCCCTACTTCATCAAGTCACGACAACCATATGTCTCAAGATTCATTCATAGGAGCAGTAGCTGAAAAAGAAGAAGAGGGAGTCTTCACAAGAGAAGAGAAGACCCAAAGGGAGAGGTTTACCATATAGTTAGGTTTATTTTCTACTGTGTACAAGAGAAATTAAGAGGAGGAGGAGGAATGGCGGCACAAAGCCATCGTCCCCCTAGCTTTCTCACGCTGAGGTTAGG